GCTATAAGGTGTGCAGTGTCATGACGAATCAACAGTTCGGTAGGGTTCACCCGCAGCTGAAAGGAGTGTCCAGCCGACCACCGCCTTCTTCCTACTGAAGAAAATGTATTCGTCATCTCAGAGAATGATGGCCACTCGTCCTCCTCCCTTCCTCCCTTCACCCACATCTCATCGCCATCAAAGAGAGAAGATGTCGCCTGCACTGGTCGCTCCTCCTCCGCAATGTCCACACACTCCAGCGCTATCACCTCCAATGTTACAAAACCGGAGATCACCTCCTCAGCGGAGGAAAGATTCCTCACAAACGCACTCGTGGCCCATGGAGAAGCAAAACGCACTCCCATTTCTTTACCAGCCGCACCACACGGGGTGTAGAAGTACTGCGCGCCGTACTTCTCCAGCCTTTGATTTAACCGTTGCTGAAGCTCCATGATAACTGCACCCGGTTCTCCATAATCCAATGCTTCCATCAGTCTTCCCTCCCTCTGCGCTGCTTCAATGGCGTTGGCCTCCTCCTCCAGCGAAGTGGTGCAACGCATCCCGCTCTCTCCGTTCTTGTTGTTGTTGCTGTCACCGCCACTGCCGTCTCGAGTCAGAAGAGGTAGTTGGTAGCGATGGCACCATGGACTGCGGTACGCAGCTGCCCATCCGCGGATACTGGGAAAACTCAACTCACCAACGACGCGTCCCAAATTCCAGGCGCAACACACAAAGGAATGTCCATGAACAGCATCACCGCCGCACCTTCGGCGTTGCAGCTCGGTATCACGACACCACGAGGGAAAGGCCTCCCACAGTTCTTTGGCCCCAATGGTGAAGAGAGGTGGCGGGGTGATGCGGGGCAAAGTGGTGCCGTGACCCTCCCCATGAAAAAGCACCTCATCAACGATGCTCGCACCGTCCAATTCCCCCGCAACGTCCTTCACTCGTTCCCCTGTAATTTGCTGCAGCAGCAATAACCGAGCCACGTCCTCCCTATCCCCACCACGCGAGCAAGTACGCAGCAGTGTTTCCACAGCCTCTTTGCGGCTTGTGCTATCCATCCTAAACCACCCGTTGTTTTGTTTTCTTTTTGTGAGTGCGCAGTTCAACAACTTGGGCAGAAAAAAAAAAAAAACGACACGCGTGCACCCATGTAAGGACTTTTGCAGGGACACACACACACACACGGAGAGAGAGAGAGGGAGGGAGAAAAGAAAAAAAGTTACGCGCGTAGGGAACCAGAAGAAAAATTAAATAAATAAAATAGCGGTTAAAGTCAAAAAAATAAAAATAAAAATAAAAAATTGAGTCCTCCGCTTGTCAAGCAACGGGCCAAACAGTAACGCTCACAATGGCGGGACATTCACAATAAAAAGAGCGGAAGAGAAAATTTTAAAAAGTTCATCCACGATAACAATAAACAATATGAAGTCTGCGGTTTCCAAATTCTCAACGACAAATTTATCACAAATCGTCCCACACTCATCCCTTTTAAAACCTGTGTCAAATGCACACGCGTCATTGGCATCATCACAAACTGAATTTCACTCATGAATCCGCATGATATGCCTCGTTATGTTGCTCTTACAACAGCGACAAAGAAAAGGCTTGATAAACAAAGAATTGGAGTCAACAGCGACGCGCAAACAGACATAAATATAAAAATACACATACGCAACTTAATTCGTCACTGTAGGCGGGTTAAAGTTGTGAAGACGCCATCATGTAAAGTTGTACTGACCGCATGAGTTACATCCAAATCCTCCCCACCACACACCCGTGGTGCTTTGCTCATTGCTCACGCCGCCCATCGTGCTGAAAAGACGCGGCACAGGCCACTGGAAAAACAAGTGCGCTTCCCTCAATCCCAAAATCTTCTCCCACCGCACGACTAATCAAAAGCGGGGAGATGGTTTCCGTGCCTTTGCTTGGAAACTGAGGGGAAACCGGCAAACTGCAACCAACTGCCAGACTAATCTGCACCGGCGAAACAGTGATTGTGGCAGCATCCACCATTTGGGCATGGCTGCGCTCCACGGATCCTTCAATAGATCTCGACTCACGTCTCACAGGGTTACTTGACAGCAATGCATCTTCATCTTCGCTTTTCAGTGCAACTTCATTGCCGTCATCCGTGAATAATTGGATTGGGGGTTGTAGGCGTTTATTCTTGTTCATAGTTGCTGGGTTATCCAAGCAGCCACGTCTGTCACCGTCCTCTGATGCCTTTGCGACTGGAGCATCCATGCCACTCTTAGCCAACGAAGATGATGTCACAGAAGCAATGTGTATCATCGTCGTCTCCTCAAAAATTTTTATCAGATTGGCAAGGTGTTCTGCAGCCAAAAAAAGTGTCTCCGTTACAATCGATTTCCATCCAAAGTCTATAGCCCACATCGACTCTTGGGCTCTTTGCCCCGTGAGCCGGCCATGAAGGATAACATGCAGCATGTGGCAGGCAAGCGTATATTCACTGAGCACAAAATGATGCCGCTCCAACGCCGCTGCGACCCGTGCAATAAATGCAGATAAGAACGCTGGCTGTATTTCCGATGCGGTCATTCTTGTTTCTTGTACCTGCTGCCGCCGCTGCAATTCCTGTTCTTCATTCTTCTTTTGTAACGTCTCCATGGCTGAGATCGCCCGTTTTTCACGAACTTTACCTAATCGCAAAGCCGTCCCCATCGTCTGAAGCGTCTCCGTCGTTTTGGCCAGTTTCCCCTTCAAATCATTTATCTCCTCGAGTAAAATTGATTCACGTTGCCGTAGAACCTCAAATTCCACGTTTTTCCGACTAAGCAGAATCCTATAATGAGAAAGTTCCTGACACAACTCCTTATTATGATCGTTTTCGCTGCGTAACTTCTCATTTTCCTCCCCTAGTTCCCTCAACTGTTTTTCCAGCTCTGGTAAACCGGGCATTTTGTCCCTTGTGACATCTTGCTGGCGCCCAGACCCCGAAGAACCAGAACAACCCATCAATGATGACAAGGCACGATATTTTTTCTCCAGCGATGAATTCAGACGCCCGGCTGCCGCAAGACGCGATTGAAGGGTGTCGACAAGAGACACCAATTTCCTGTTCTCTGCCGTCAAATTCAATACGGTTGCCCGTTGCGCGTTTTTCACTGTGGCAGATTCATTGCCTTGAGTCTTTTTCCCTTTTGGGGAAAACGCCTCTTTTCTTGGAGCATTACTACGACCCGCCACGTGCACCCCGCCCTCCCCCTCTTGGGTAGCACGAGAGAGCGTGCTTGTGCTGTTCATAAGACCGTCGTCCCCTTCACGAGTGATGGATCCCTTCGGAAAAACGGTCGCCGTCATCTCCTCAACCTGCGGTCGTGAAGACGAGTGGGTGATGTCATGAGCGCGTAGTCGCCTCACAAGCTCCTCCAAATCCTTGGCAGTCGCAAAGGCCGGTGAAGATCCCCTGCGCCCTTTGGAACGGAGTGACTCAATGTACTGCAGCACCTTCCCACGGTACGTATCATTCACACGTTGGATGTGGTAGTTCTGATCCTGCAAAAAACTCACCTCGCCTTCCAGCTCCCGCACACGCCTCCGCAGCTGCTTATTCTCCGAGAACAAGGCAGACGCCATGCCAGGCGTGATGGCAGCAGTGGGTTTGTCTTATTTGTTGCCGGGTAATAAAATACGCCTCACTCGCTATGAAGTCACAACGTTCCTGATGAAAAAAGATGGCGACCACAGATGGAGGCGGCCCGCAAAAAAAAAAAGGCGAGTGGCGTGTTCTCCGTCGGATCCCTGCTTGGTTGTTTGTTTGCCTTTTTCTTTGTTCTTGTTTCTTCTTCCAACCTCCTTCTTTCCTCCGCCACCCATGAGATTGAGATATGCGGAAGTCACAACAGAACCATTTTACGATCCCGCAATAGGAAACACGGCAGAAAAAAAAAAAAACAGGAAAGACAAATTCCTTTCGTGTTGTGTGTGTGTGTGTGTGTGCACATTCCTTTGGCTCTCCGAGAAGTATTTACCGCAAACACGTTTTCATCGTGAAAACAGCAGTCAGCCCTCTTTCCACCGTGTCAACAAATAAGCAGAAAAGAGCCTGTAAATATTACTCTCACTCCTGCATTCAAAGCCATGGAACATGCACAAACACACGAATACCCCTCACCATTTTATTGCGTTTGTGGCTCCTTCTCTTTCTCTCCTCTCCCTTCATACCGCACCACGCGTTGTATGCATAAGCGTGTAAACGACACCTCATTCTAGGCCATCATCCTTAGCACCACCATTCCCGATTGAAAGGGACTTTCTTTACGCCTTCTTTGCATCCTTGCGTCTACGGCCCCTCGTCAGCGGCTTCTTCATGTGTTTTTTCTTCTCGCGCTGCGACGTCTGTCCGGCAGTGGGCTTCACGACGGTGAGGCGGCCCCGCTGATCTGACGGCACGCGAGAAGCCACACGCGACTCGACGGCGGAAGCATAATTTGCCCGCGCCTTCGCCTCAATTGTCTTCCGCCGTTTCCCGTAGACGGTCTTCTTCTTCGAATCCCCAACGGACTTGCGCAGGGCACCGCCGCTCTTTTCGTGGGACTTTCCCTTCAACCTCTTCTGCGCCATTGTGACAGCCTTTTCCTCTTAACTGTTTGCGTACAAACAAAATAACGTGTGTTCTGCGATAAACAGCGGGAGCAAAAAAAAAAAAAAACAATTCAAAGAGACCCCAACACAACGACATCCTCCGCATAATAATAATAACAGCAACAAAGATGGATAGACTAAAAAGTGTCACCCCACAACTAATCTCGTTTTTATTTCTTTTTTTTTTTTTTCTTGACGTGTAGAGGTGTCTGCTTCACATATACACATTACATACATGAAAATTTTTTTTTATTTCCTCTTTTGTTGCCTCTTTTTCAGCCGTAGTTTCCTTCTGTTTGTTTTACCGCCTTATATTACAGGGTGGGGTGGGCTGGAAGAAATTGTTTTATTTACATTCTACTCCAGGTGATAAAAGCAAAGCCTCATCATCGCCATTGTTGGGCAGAACTCTAAAAGTTCAAAGACACCACGCAAGCCACTCCTCGCTTCACCCAATGCCCCGGCTCGACGTTGGTGGGAATGCAAATGGCAAGAATAAAGTTCGTGGAGTGTCCAGTTGTGCTCAGTGTACCGGCACGGGCGAGAGTCTTGTACACGGGGCAGACGTAATCTTTGGGGTCGTTGACATAATCGACCTTCGGATCTAGATGGATGAGTGGCATTTCCACGTACAGCTCCTTTGGCCTCGACTCCGCGAGGGTGCGCTCCTTCGCGTCCCACCTCGCGCCATCCAAATACAGCCCGTACACAATGGTTCCTTCTTCCGGCGACTCCACCCTGGCGGGGTCCTTTTCAT